AGAGAGAGAGACAGAGACGCATACGTCGTTTGGACCTGCGCGATTGCGGGTTTCGAGTCAATTTTTGATATGCGCCAAGCGCGGGTTCAACTTTCTATACACAAGCGGGCACACCTGTCATTTCGACCACACATGTGGGGACGACTGCCGCCTGCCTACCGCCTACACCTTTTCGCTGTTTTTCGCACTACTGCTGCTGCCTGCCTTGCCGCCCGCACCTTTTCATTGTTATCCCACCTATGCTCACGAGTGACCGCGCCAGTAGCAGTCCTACACGGCCCCGCCCTTTGCAAGGCCCCAAAACCTCAAAATGACCACCCTGCGGTCCCGCCCCTTGCAAGGCCCCCAAACCTCAAAATGCCCACCCTCCCCAACGACCACTGACGTTGAAATTCAATGACGTTGAAATGTTCGCAGCCCGTCAGGGGTGCATTTTCCCCCCCTGAGACATTTCAACGTCACTCAAATTTCAACGTCGATGGTCGTCGGGAGGGTGGGCATTTTGAGGTTTTGGGGCCTTGCAAGGGCCATGACCGCGTAGGACCGGTAGTTGCCCGTAAGAGGTCGAGGAGGCTGCGGTCCTTGAGCCTTTTTCGAACTTGAAACGACGTGGGTCCACTTTTCTTGAATAGCAAAGCACCTCGAATAGAACATGTACACGTTGTATTCGAATACAATGTGTACCCTTTCTATTCGGATTTCAAAAAGAAAAACACTCTTGTATTCCAATAAAATTACTTTTTTTTTTTTTTTTGGGTAGGTCAGCGCCTGCCCATATGCTCCCCGCCACTGACATGCTGCATGCTGCAGGTTTCTCTGTCTCTGTCTCTGTCTCTCTCTCTCTCTCTCTCTCTCTCTCTCTCACACACACACACACACACACACACACACACATGCGCACTCTCTCTCTCACTCTCTCTCTCATGCACACACGCACGCACACTCTCTCTCTCTCTCTCTTACACACACACACACACACGCACTCTCTCTCTTTCTCTCTCTCTCACACACACACATGCATGCGCACTCTCTCCCTCTCTCACACTCTCTCTCTCTCTCTCTCACACACACACACACACACACACATATGAACTTTTTTGTCAAAAAAGGAATAATATATATACATATTGTTTTATATATAAAAATATATAAATAATAATAAAATTAATAAAAAAATAAAAAAAAAATACAAATAATTTTAATGTTTTTTTATATAAATAATACACTTCTCATCGCCAAGAATAACTTCAAAAATATATATCTTCTCGTCCATATGATAAAAAGTATCCTTCCCCCTATAACCCCGGAGATAACTTGCTGATAGGCAAACCCCCGCCTCGGAACAACAATGCCATCAATATACATTATAGACAATTAATCTCGCACCTTTATACCACATAGCAGCTCCACACATATCAATTATGGGTCCACTAGATACCTTGAGGCTGAAGCAAAAATAAAAAACTGACGAAAAACGCCTCAAATAAACTACCCTAAAAAAAACGTCTTTTCGAAAAAAAAACAAAACGCACCACGGCCGAGACGCCACCAAACAAAAAAACAGTCCGAAACGACACTCCTGCCACGCCAGAGAACAAACACACACGAAGCAGATAAACCAGATGCGACACTCCCTACTTCTTCCATAGCCGTTCCTGTCCCCTAGACGACAAAAATAGATCCACGCCACTACATGAATTGGCGCACAATGAGACAACCGATACACAGCAACCAGACTCCATGAACGTTGGATTACCCGCATCGATACCGCCATACCCTCCCCCACATCTACTAGGCACATCGGCAGATACAACCCCACCACCGTGCTACGCAAAAAGAAGTCTGCTCAGCTTCCCGCTATTTCCCTATCCCCCTAAACAAACTCGCAAATAGCTTACCCCCCTCTCTCATTCACACATGAAATCCCCCCTTTCTTTTTCCCCCCCAAAGATGCAGCCACTACCCCACCTACCCCACCCCCATCCTATCCCCACCCACGTTCTTCCGCTACCCCTAGCCTGCAGTACGACAAGCTACGATATACATTCATGGCATGCTCTCCCCTTTCCTCCTCTGGGATTCAACAGATGCCCTCGAAAACGGCTGCCACTACAACTGCTTGCTTGCTCGTACTCCACCACACCTGCGCCAACTTGCATGTTCCAGCCTCCCTCTTCTCCTACCACAACTCCTCTCTGGCTTCCTCCTCGCATGAGCACGCCAGCTCGCAAACTGATCTGTCTACCTGGTTTCGGTCTGGCACACCATAGTGCCCTGGGCGCTGTGCTTACACGGTAAGCCACCTGATAACACGCTGAACGACCACCAACTGAGCTATGGCGGCGACTGATCTCCCAGCGACACCATCATGACCGCTCAGGTATCAATTGCTAACGACTTCTTCTTCTCCTATGACTATGCTGCATCAAAATACAACCCCTGACGTCATGCCCTTGTAACCCCCCCTACCCCCCTCCCCTATTCCTAAAAGGAGCCTTTACTAAGCTAACCCCTCGGATGAGCTGCTATGGGTGCTAGGCGGCGAAAAGCGCGCTCAAAGGCGTGCACCCCCCCTTCGGCTTTTAATCTTGCCGATTCTAACACCTTCTAACCTACTAATCTCCTAACAACTCCTCACCTCCCTCAACCCCCCCCCCCCTTGGCATACTGAAATGGTTCTCTCCTTAATAATAGGAGACTAATTAGCATTGAGCTCTATCCTGTTGCTAACCTCTGCGGATGTTGATATGGTCCCCCCTCCCGGTACAAACGGGATGGCCGTGTTTACACACCCATCGCACACACACACACACACACACACACACACACACACACACACTTGCACACGCACGCACATTCTCCTGTCTATTTATGGGGAGTGCCACCTGCTGGAAACTGGGTCCAGAGTCCCATGAACATCGTGAATAAAGCACGAACTGGGACCCCACACACACACTCTCTTCGAGTTGTGTATACAGAACATGACAAAAAGTACATACAGCATAATCACTACCTTTTTTTTTTTTTTTTTTTTTTTTTTTTTTGGGAAATAATCACTACCTTATCCTGAACCACATCAACAAAGACAAACCAACTACGAGCTGCGCACCAGTGGAAGTCAATCAGGGGGATAAAACGCACCCCTGACGGGCTGCGAACAAAAGCCCTTGTTACAGGTGGATTAGCGCTTGGTCCAAACTGCCGTAGCGCCCGAGGGGGTCCCTCGAGAGCGCGGCCGCTTGCAAAGACTGAAATGGACGCGCCCTTTATTTCAAAAGCTTAACGCCACGTCCTTATTTTGAAAGGCTGTTGCGCGGCCATAGCGCTGAGCCTACCATTCAACCGCTTGGACACCTATTTTTACCACGGCGCCTTGATGATGAATCGCGCACCATTGGCCGCCCCCGCCCCCGCGCCCGCGCCCGCGCCCACGCCTTCGCCTTTCACCGGATTCTATGTCTGCTGCAGGAGGGTATGGTTCCGACGCACTAGAGACAGTCAACATCAACAGCGTATGGGAGTCGATCTCTTACATTCATCGAGGGCCTATTGTATCTTGTAATGTCGTATCCATCCCTTCATCTCTGTGTCTCGTATCCCTCCCTTCATCTCTGTGACGCTTTTGGATCATCTTGCTTCTATTCTGTTTGAACTTGCGTCCAGCTTGTATTTGGGCCAAATTTCGTCTAGATACGAGCGGTAATTCCGAGCCATGCATGCATGGTCCGCCGGATCCTGCCTCGCCGCTGCAGCGGTAGTCTAACGCGCGCTGACGGGCAGAGTCCGTCTCTCAGGATCTTGCGCCTTGATGCGCTATCTCCTTTCTCTTCTTGCCGAAAACGGGCCTCGCTCCACTATTCTCCACATGCACAAAACACAAAAAACATTGGGCTGTATCTTTCCATGTTCTAGTGCGAGATTCAGTCTCATTTTGCACATTTCCTCTGGCTCTATGCTCAGGTGGTGGACGGGCAGGTGGATACGGGAGAGCGGTATGCCCCTTGACAAGTCCTGGAGGGCAGCCAGGCGAAACGCGGCGGGGATTTCTGAGCTTTGTTATGTCCGAGCTTGTTCAATGAAAATTATGATGTGATGCTTGGACGCCTAGCGATTGGCCGCGCTACTCTCTATTCTCCCTCATCTGTCTGTGGTTCTCTCTGTGTCGCTCTCCCTCCTTTCCCTTTTCTCCTCCTTTTTGACTCTCTCTTCCTCTCTCTCTTTCTTTCTTTCTTTCTTCCTTTCTTTCTTTCTTTCTTTCTTTCTTTCTTTCTTTCTTTCTTTCTTTCTCTCCCTCGGCGTTTTCGTCGTGAATGTGGAGGAAGATGGCGCGGACGCCCAAGGCATTGAGAAGTGCTGTGCGAGTATTGGTCCGTACTCGACCAACAGTAAACTTCGCCGATAGCACGTTCACGTTTCATCCCGATAAGCAGGTTCGTGTTTTTTTTTTCTTTTCTTTTTTTTTCTATTTTGTGTGTGGTGTCATGTTCGCTATACACAACTCCACAAAATAACAGCTTGACTGTGAACGCCTGTTTCGTCGGCTTTCTGTGTGTGCGCGTGTGTGTGTGTTGTGGTGTGTGTGTGTGTGTGTGTGTGTGTGTGTGTGTGTGTGTGTGTGTGTAACACGTTCCCCATTTCTGCTTGTCGACAGACGTGCGCGCGCGCGCAGCACCGTATACATGCACACACACACACACACACACACACAGAGAGAGAGAGAGAG